TGAAAGAGTGCGAAACTTGCGCAAAAGCTGCTCCCTCGCCAGTCAAATGCACACTTCAGTCATGGCCCGTGGCTACCCGGCCATGGTCTCGCATCCACGCCGACTACGCAGTCTCCGTAGAAGGGTTCAACTTCCTGGTCATCGTTGACGCCTACAGCAAGTGGCCTGAAATTTTCAAAACCACTGCCACCACATCATCAAGGACCATCGAGCTTTTCTCTGAGGCGTTCGCTCGTAACGGCCTACCGGACACGCTGATCACCGATAACGGAGTGCAGTTCACGTCGGACGAGTTTAAGAACTTCTGCGCTCACAGCGGCATCGAACACATTCGCTCGGCCCCGTACCACCCTCAGTCTAACGGCCAGGCCGAAAAATTCGTCCACCTTCTCAAGACGGGGCTGGAGAGAGCCCAAGGAAACGTCGATCAGAAACTGCGCGAGTTTCTTACTTGCTACCGCCGCACTCCATCGTACTCACTTGGCGGAAAGTCCCCATCGGAACTTATGAACGGAAGACCGATGAAAACAAGACTCGATTTGTGCAAGTCAAAGCCATCACCATCTCAGCAACGGGACGAGCAGATGGAGGCCCGTTTCAACATTTCTCACGGCGCCAAGTGGAAGGAGTTTACCGTTGGCTCCCCCGTTTATTACAAACGCAACCGATCAAACATCGACTGGGAGTGGATTCCGGCCACCATCCTGAGCCGTTCCGGAGCCGTGAACTATGCAATTGAGTCCGAGGCAGGGAAAGTATTCCCAAATGTACACGCAAATCAACTGAAATCACGCAAAACAAAGAACGAGTTCCTGGAGGCTTTTGACCTGACCGACGTCACTGACACTGAAGTCGAGCCGTTCATCACGCTGCAAGCAGAGGCTCACGAACAAAATCAAGAAGACGAGAACCAAGACCTAGAGACAACAGAAGAAATCTTCGAGGACGCTGAAGATTTTCAAGAAGTCGAGCAACCCGCACCCCTGCGTCGCACGACAAGGGTCAATGCAGGAATTCCGCCTGCTCGCTTCGGAGGGAAGGATTAAAACTTAGCGGGGAGGAATGTGGTGACCCCGCTTACGCATGGCCCCCACTAATACGATACGTTGGTGGCGACCCGACCCCCCCCCCCTGGGGCAGTCGCGAGATACCTACCGTTGGTAACGCGGAGAATAAAAACATTGTCACCTAAGTAAATCTAATTGTAAGTCTCGTTCGAGCTTCCGATAAATAAACATAGTTAATTAGAGGAATCCTCGCCTCCCGTTTACTGAGTGATACACCACAGCCTACGGGATTCTTCAGTCACACCAATTTTTTTTAATGGCATCCCCTATTTTTTATTACATGTTCTTGTAGCTGACCTCGAGAGCTTTCTAAAACGCTATAATAAAGTATTTTGTTATTAAGAACTTTTAGAGTTATTAAGGTTTGAAAGTTCCAATATTTTGACATAAATTACAAAATATCTTGTAAAATATTCATTTTTTTATCATCTTACCTTAATACTTTTTGAACAGAATAATAAAAAAATACTTTATTAAAGCGTTTTGGAAAGCTCTCGGGGTCAGCTACAATTAGAATATGTAATTAAAAA